GGGGAATGTACCGATTTCTCCACCCACAGCTTCGTCTTTCTTTCAAGGACTTTTAGGTATTAGGGTTAAAAAAACACTCAAAATTTAGCACTTATGGTTCCGCATATCCCCAAAATGGTGTTATTAAAATTGTTGAGCTTTCCATTCCATGAATTGACTGCACTTAGCAGCGAAATATATATTGCTCGCGTTTGTACCTTTTCTTCAAAACCGCATACATGTAGATAGACGCAACCCTAATATCAAAGAACCATCAATTTTATCCGAAATTACTTTGCAAATTAATGCATATGAACGAAATTCACATCAACAAGAAAAGCTAAAACATCCAAAACTCTACGCAGAGTGATAAATTAGTTGCCTGCACTCGAAATATGCATCCATATTTCAGGCCATTTATAAATAAATAATGTATAAATGCATTAACAGCTGTATGTAGAGGAATGAAATAGCTTTCTAGGGGAAATTTCCCACCCTTTTAGGGTCCTATTTATTTACCTGAATCATGTAGGCGGTACAGTTTGTTGGCACCTCTCATAAACCTCCCTGCAGGTCAGCTTCATAATGGACAAAATTCGGACTTGTTCAGACGAAAGGCCATTATGAGTGAATATTAGCTCTTTTCAGGATGCCTACTTTAATCAGGAAGCATGCTATTTTGCGAAGCTACATTCGTAGTTTCCACGCCTCTGCAATTGCATTCGTCTGCATTTTTTAAAATTTGCCATGGTGTATTCACATGCAAACAAGTGAATGAATAGATGACTTAGTGGAGTGCACCCAAGGCAAGGTGGATTTCTCGATATGAAGTCTTGAATGTGTCACTTACAAACCAACTCAGTGTCTAACTTTGTTTCACCGCTGACCATTGCCAAATCATGTTATTCTATTTACAACGTGGTGATTCTTCATCAACGTCTGTGAATTAGTGTTTACTTTACTGCTGTCCTCTTTCGCTCTCCATTCATGCATTAGGTAATACGACAAAAAAATGAATAATAAATAAGGGGCTGTGTGACATTAGTCAAATTTGAACATATGCATGAATAGTCCACTTAGAGGCTCCAGACACCTTAATGTTCAATACTAAGGCATTTTCTTAAGTGTCTTAGAAAGTGTTACTAAGACAAGTAATGACACTGACCAAGTTGCGAAGGTAAATATACGATGCAAAGACATTCGTTTCTACTATGAGCTTGTCTACTTATATGGCAGATATCGAATATGACTGACAGAGGGTGGTAAACGACGCGCTTTATTTTGAGCTGCAGCATATCGCAATGAAACACGAATTAAGGTGTTCATACGAGGAGCCAAGAATATTTTGCATTAAAAAGGCATTAACATAATCACTAATTTGCTAAACTCTGTATAGCGTGCAATTAATTCATTCCCTTCAAACAAGTCAACTGAGTAGATGGGAGCATTCATTCATTCACGTAGCTATTCATCCACGACATCCTTGAGTACTCTGGGCTTCAGCGACACCTTCTCCTACTTCCATCTTTCTCCTCACGCTCACTTTGCCTTAACAAACGTCCGCATCTACACTTCATCCCTCTCCAACTCACCCTGTTTTTATTCATGCTCGATGCAGCTCCCTCTCAACAACGTAAATGTCTAACTATAAATTTGCTTAGAAGAACATTAATTTTTCTTTTGCATTGAACAAGTCCCATGTATCTTGAAAATTGATTCGCATGGCTTGCTGCCATTTTCACCCCTACTTTGTTACTCCTCTCCGTTAGGTCATCACTGCTATCACCTCAATCCATGTTCCCTGGGTCATGGAAGCGTCTGCAGAATAGAAGTCGCAGTGTCACATGTACTCCATGGGGAATACGGCTTCCCTACTGCAATCGCTAGAGGTGAGAGACGATATATGAGAGGAGGCGAGGTCAATTTAAAGGAGATGAGATGGGACGGGTTTTCCCTTTAGACATACAGGTAGTGCGAATTCATTGAGTGCCTTGAGCTACAACCGACAGAGTACTTGTGCAGTGGTGAGAA